GTAGACTACTCACACAATTGTGCAATTTCACACCAAGTTATATTATTTGATCCATTAGTATGTTCATTACATCAATGTTGCAGGTGGTAAAGTGAGGCCAGTCTGTGCCTGTGAAGAACTGTTGGGTAACCAGTTATTCATTGACTGTTTTAAAACAAAGGTGTATTATAGTGTGAGCCAATACTAACACAAACACACTGAGCGCCTGACGATACGCTCAAAAGCTGAACACAGGCTGAAAATCTGGCAACCCTGACAAGACAAGTAGACAGTGTCCAAAGTCCACTGTCAGCTGAGGGCTGAAACTCCACCGTGCTCACTGTCCGCTGGAGTCACAAGTCCATTTTAAAATATTTTCACCTCAAACATGATGGAGATTCCAGTATTTACAGTGGACGCCTTCACACATTTACCATTCAAGGGAAACCCTGCAGCAGTATGTCCACTAATGCATGTGAGTATGAACATTTAGGCTAATGCACAGAGGGCCTATGTCATATCACTCTGGTCTAATGCACTAAAGAGACACTTCAACAGCTGCTTCTATCTTTGCATTTGGGTCAAGTATCCCACTAACTGGTTGTAACATTTGATTGAAGTACTTTATATTTACATTTTTCCACAAGATCGAAGCTTCTCATGTGTCACATGATTAAATAGTTTATTGCAACTAAGCAGCCTGACATACTTCCCACCCATCCATCTGATCAGTATGCATGCAGAACAGTGACATTATGTGTCACAACTAAAATATTTCTGTATGTGTTGCCAACAGGAGCTGAGTGATGAGTTGTATCAGAAAATAGCAGCAGAGATGAACCTGTCAGAAACAGTTTTCATCACCACAATCAACCCCTCTGACAATTTCTCTACAGGTCAGATAATATCTGCTCACAGTTAATGAACTTTTGTCATAACCTGTACAACCATCTTGTTTCAAAGACTGTTTGAATGGAGAAAACACTGCTGCAAGCAATTCAGTGGATTGGTAAAGAATCACTGTGTCCAAAGGTTGTTTTTGAGTTTGTTTGTTTTTTAAATTTAATTTGTCAACTTTCAAAAGAACAGTTAGAAGTTTTTTGTTTGACTGTATGATCTGATCATTGTCAATATCCACTTCAAATTCCAGCTCAGCTCAGCTCATACACTATGTTGCATACAAATATCACAGAATTTACCCTTAGGAATTTAATAATTGTAGGACTTTACATTTACATCTGGTTATGGCGTAATATAAACCATATAAAAATGGGATAAACAGTCTCAATTTTACTTAAATTAATGCAACATCTATACATTTTTTGTTTCACAATGATGGATAAGTATAAATGTCCCTTTAGCAAGAGGCTTTGCTAAATTTAAAGCAAAGCAGTTTCTCATATTGTGATTATAAGGTCTCTGTTGATGGTTACACATAGAGGGGACGGACATGTTAAAGTTCTGTTTGTGATAAAGCACCCATCTGAAAAATGTGATGTGATGAACAGGATCAAGGTTCCGTCTCAGATGGTTTACACCGACCACTGAAGTGAATCTGTGTGGTCACGCTACCCTGGCCTCTGCTGCAGTGCTGTTCCAGCATAAGAGTAAGATACAGAATGAACACACATATGCACATATTAAGGGAGTATATTAGTCTGGTAATGCAGTGGCAGCATGACCGACTGGTCAAGACCATTGAAGCCATGAAGTTGAATTTGATCATACTATTTAAACTGGCAGGCGTTTTAATGTTATCCTGTTATTGTAAAACGTTTCCATGTATAAAACAATACAGTTTGATACACAGAAGAGCAAATGAGCTTTTAGCCATGATGCCCACATTACTCAGTTACATGTAAACACTTAATTCATCAGCCAGACTGTGAATATAAGATCCAATAATCATATGCTACATCTGTTAGAGAATGTGAATCCTGTACTGGTGTTTGAGACCAGGAGTGGAGATCTGGCGGTCACCAAGCAGAGGGAGGGCTACGTCATGGACTTTCCTCTCAACCCCCCCACGCAGGAGGTACAGTGTGTGTGTGTGTGTGTGTGCATGAGGTCAGATCAACAGATCAGGACAGTGTCGCACAGGAGGTTAGAGTCAATCATTTGTTTAAAGGTTCAAGATGTGCATTTTCGCCAAAGGGTAAAAGATCCACTCTGTAAATCTGCATGGCTCAAAGATATGAAACCATCAAACACCATGCAATACAGTGACGAAAGTTGTAAAGAAATATATGGAGCAGAATGATTAAAACAAAGACACAACTGCAGTTACTAATTTCTATGCTATTTGAACAATATTCAGCATTATCATCAAGAAAACAGCTTTTATAAAACCCAGCAGCCCTTCAACCAGCTCAGTGTTGTTACAGTGCAACTGTTGTTTGATTAGCAGAACCGTTAAATTAAAACAAAAGAAAAACCACAAAATGCCAGAATTATAAGAGGTTTATTTCTCTGCAGGATCCCAGTGAGTTCAGAGACATCATCAAGGTCAGTAAGACGGACCTTACAGACACCTCTCTCTGTGTACAGCAATGACTCCTGCTTTACTGTCCACATGAGCACATCTGTAGAGCAGTGTGATTTAATTCCAGTGTCTAAACTCCATCTCTGCTTCTGCGTGTGTGTGATACAGGCAGCAGTTGGAAACCACCCAGTTCAGGATGTTTATCTGAGCGACAACACTAAGAAACTGATGGTTCGACTGGCTGACAGCTATGACAGGTTACAGTCAACACTCACACACACACCACATAGAGACATGTACACCCACTAACACACACACACCTCCTTGATATATTCCAAGGAGTCAAGATGAAGACAAGAAGAAAAGGGATCAAGATGTGTTTCCTGATGAATTCATTTTTTACAGTTCAAACATATCTTAAACTCATTATTTAAATTAATAAAAATTTAAAAATGTAGCGTGTTGTCTGCAGGTCAGTGTTAACCCATCTGAAAGTCGACCCCGCCACTCTGCAGAGCAGTGAGAGGAGTGGAAGAGTCAAAGGACTCATTCTCACTATGAAAGGTAAAGAATAAATCATGTAGCCAGACCAGGGAGATGTCACTGGACAGCTGTATGACAACCCTAACCACATCACTGTAATGTATGTCGGCCAATAGGGTCTCCAGACTGCCAGCCAGGATACGACTTCTACTCCAGATACTTTGCTCCATGGAATGGAATCCCAGAGGATCCCGTCACTGGTAAATCTACAGATACTACACCTCCACTCCTGCACATTCACTCTGCTCCATTTGAATGTAGGGCGGATATTTTACATGTACATAATCTTATATCACATTGTTATTAATGTGTAATACACATTTACATACAAGTGACAGGTCCAAGACAAAGTAAGATGTTTTAAGATGTTCGGTACTTTACTGCTGTGAAGTTGTTAAATGTTCAGTGTTGTGCAGTAAGATTTGGTTTTATGTGCTTGCATTTGCAGGTTCTGCTCACACCGTCCTCGGTAGCTACTGGTCTAAGAAACTGGGGAAGAAGAAAATGCTGGGTAATCAATATTGCATTCTTCACATTTACTATTTTATCCAGAAAGACAGTTGTGGGACAACACTATAACTTCAGTACAGTAAGAAAACCTGAGTAAGTCAGTACTTGTTTCTAAACCTGTTTAATAAGAGATGTGTAGGAGATCAGGTAAAAAAAAGTGCACTGACTTAATAGTGCACATTATAAAAGTAATTCCACAAATTTAAGTCTTTTTCTACAAATTTAAAAATGTAGACGATCATTTAGTTGACAACAAATGTTCAGGCAGTCATCACTACTGAACTGTACCATACTAACCCTCAGATCTTGTGTGTGTAGCTTACCAGTGCTCCAGTCGAGGTGGGGAGCTGGAACTGGAAGTAAGAGACGATGGGAGAATCAACATAGCTGGACAAGCCGTCACTGTTCTGCAGGGAACCATCACACTGTAGTTACACACACGCAAGCAAAGAGGGTTTGAGATGCAGTCAACTTGTTCCTGTGCATAGAAGAGGACACAGGCAACAAAATATAAGAAAGAAAGATCATCACACACTTTGTTATGATTTTTATTATTTATTCATATATCAGAGTAGAAGAAATTACAATATTACACAAAAACAGAAAAACGGATCAATCACAGTTAGCCAGGTCACCAGGAAGGTACCTGAAACATTTTGCTCATTGTATTATTCAAATTATTCCCATAAATTGTATTTTTTCCTACTAAAGCAGAGACTGTTCAGGTGTTCATATTATGGAGTACCTACTAGAATAATTCAGTCTCTGTGCAGCTTTAGATCTGCGTTACACAAAGGAATTGAAATAAATAACTCACATTCTTGGCTTTACTTCAGTATTTGCTGTTACTGACAATATGATTCCACAAATGTTCCTTCTAAATGAGAAATCATTTTTAGAACAGTTTGTTGTTTCTATGTTTCTGCAGTTGACTGGTGAAGCTCATTCACATAATATAAGATTAGTTCAAGTATGTATGAGGTCCAGTGTTCAACAGTCTATACACTAAATAAAAAAATATACACTGCAGCTGGTACCTTGTCTTTTATACAACATCTACCTGAGTTTAAAGATGGAACACTTGACTAAGTCATTTAAGACTGCAGGTAATTCTGGTTCTGACAATGTTGTGGTGTAGATGAACTTTTCCTTCCCGTAGACAGACATTTATTAGCTTTTCTGACTGTTGTAGTTATGTGAAATTAACTACAGTTAAATATACCTGTTTGGTCTCCATTTGCTGCCCTGTGAAATTTGTCAGTGAATGAATCGAGGTATTTGATCAAAAATATCTGTCTAAATGAATAGTGACCAGTCCTCATTTGATGCGTTGTACCATAATCTATTACAGACATGTTTTAGCTGCAATTTTAGTTTAGCGTGCAACTGCTTTAACAGGTCGGTCCTTGTTCTTTAGTGTTTCGAAGTGGGGACAGTTACACATACACCGTTGAAACTGGGATCCAAAAATATGGATTACAAAAAATACAAAATATGTGCAGTTTGAAATAAATCAACAATGACGACAGAGCCACATCTTTTGAGGTTCAGTCACTAGATCTAGAGAACGAGGTCTAACTCTAAAATCAAATGATCATCTCACATTCTGTAGAACTTTATCAGTGGAAAAAAACATATTCTGTTGATTAGTGCATGTGAAGCCAACAAAGCAGAATGTCAAAGTAACACTTGCTCTAAATTCCAAAATAACAACTTTATGTCACAAAGTCACCTCAATCTTCGAGTCATTTCTATTATAAATGTTGTGATGTAAAAATTAAAAAATATCAACTGTATCTACAGTTAAAATCCACATAATAGTGACACAATTTTGTGTCATTGACAACTGACACCTGCAGAAGTTTTTACAGCTCGTACTTTATATTTCAACAACCTGACGGATCACACAGGGTGTTCTCGGACCGGTTCTCAGGTGCTGCCTTGTTGAAGTTCCCACGTCTGCTCCGCTGTGAGACAAGCAGTTGTTCTGGGACACCATCATGGCTTCACAGTCATCTGTTATAGGTGCATGCTGGGTAAGGCCTTGTGAGCAGCTGGCGGGAGCTTGATAATGTGAAGTAAAGGTTCAGGAAAAAACTTTGCAGACACAAAATATGTGAAAAAAGGGATTTGTTTGGAACATAGGAAGCTAATACACTTTAAATTCCATTACATGTAGAGCTTGATTCATACGATGAAGAAACTTGGAGTGGTATTTGTAAAGGATATCATGTTCTCTTGCTGGAGATGGTTGAGCAGTTTCTCCACAGGTGTGTAGCGTCGTAGTGTTGTGGTGGAGCCCACCATCAGCAGCTTGTGTTTGGCCCTGGTAATGGCGACATTCAGTCTTCGCCAGTCCTTCAGCAACTCACCTAACTGTTAGGGGGGAGGGATCATGTCAGGTTTTCACTCATTTAATCATCCATAAAGAGACAGAGGCTCCAGGACAGGAGTGGAAATAGGAGTTGGGAAGTAAAACACTTACGTTTCCTTCCTCTGGCGTGCTCCTGACAAAAGAAAACACGATTAGACCTTTGTCTCGTCCCTGGTATTTGTCGACCGTGTTCACCTCCACACCAGTGAAAGCAGAGGACTGCAGCAGAGCAGAGATGCTCTTCAACTGTTGTCTGTAGGGAGCGATGACACCTATATCACTGGGCTTACACCCTGCCTGAAAAAAAAAAAAAAGACATAAGCAGTATCAGCAGAGTCAACACACACGTCTATTCCACTCCCACTTCTGCCACGGTATTGAATAATCATCATGCCATAAATAGTTGAGAATCAGGGGATTTACCTTTATCAGCAGTGAAAGTAACAGGTGTACGAGAGCAGCCTCATTGTGATTGCTTACACCTCCCTGCTCCACTGACTCCAGTGCAGGCACCTAGAGTCAACAGGGGAGAAAACATTAAGACCAGCACAACTCAACACCTAATACACTATAAAACAGTGGTCATGTCATATTGACCACTTTCTTCAACAGCTACAGCAGCTGCCTTATTTGCTTCACCTACCACCACAGAACAAACATATACTATCCTATCTGTAAATGTCAATCTAAAACCAAAGTCTTTCACTTCAAACTGACTAATTTCTGTCTCAACACAACACATTTAAAAAAAACAACAAACTACTGCACGCTCATATTCAACCAACCATTGAGCAGTCAAGCAAGCAAACAGGGTTGCTAGGCAACAAAGTGGCCTGTATCCATGCCAGGTCATGCTGGGGATGAGTCTGAGAGTAGGAACTAAGCTCCGACTGCACAGAAAGCAGGAAAGGCAGAGTGAGCAGAGCCGAGGCCGTCCTCTCTGATCCACACTCCAGACGACCCTCGTACATCAGGGAGTTACTGAGAGACATTATCTGCCTGAAACAAACACAGTACGGATCATTTATCACGGAGTGGAAATACTTTTAATTCATATCTAATTAATTACAGGTTCATTATGAGGTTTACAGTCGCTCCACTTACTTCTGTATTGATAATATTAGTTAATGGTTGTGAAAGAGCCATTTGTAATGAATTTAATGAATGAACAAAGACTAGTTTATGAAGCCTAACCTGTTCATCCGGTACTGAACATTGAGGTGAACCACTGCTTCACTGTGGAGCTCCAGTCGCTTAAATAGACTTTCATCCATCCCAAGTGACCTGGAGAAAAAAAAGAAATGACCGAACTTGTAAATTTTGATGATTATAAGATTTCCTAGTACGAAACACAAATCAACATAAACCCCAGTTATTCCTATGATTTACACACACATACACACTTCACCTCGCTTCCTGGTTTTGCACTATTGGCGGCAGTTGTTGGTGATCTCCAACCAGGACAAATCTCTTGGCGTAGAACAGGGGTCCCAGACAGATGGGCTGACTGATCTGTGACGCCTCGTCTACGATGCAGAAATCAAACCGCCGACGTGTGAAAATGGGATGCTTGATGCCCATACAGGTGGTCCCCACTACCAACTAGAAAGAGAAGGGATTGGTATTGAATCGGAGGAGAAATGTTAAGATGCAATATTTACAGTCAAACGTCTTTCGGCAGAAAAAACATTAGGATCAGCTCTAAAATATTATAAAAATAAAAGTCGAAATAAAAAAGCAGATTGTTTTTTTGTATACCACTAACTATTTCTTCACCTCCTTGTTGTAGAGCTGCTCCAACTCTGAGGGAGAATGAATTCCTGTCTTCCTGGCAATTTCCTCTGTGTAGGGCAGAATATCTGGATGAACCTGGAGCAGGTGGAAGAAAACAGGACAGGAATCAGAGCAAGTCAAAATATACAATTGTTATTCCTTAATATTTCATAAATACAGATTATTTTCTAAGTGGCAATTACGTATTTTGACACATTACAAAAGCGAACCTTCTGGCCCTGTCCAAGACGCAGAAACCCGACCCGGAAACGCTTCAGCTTCAGCAGGATGTTGTCGACTGCAGAGTGGGTGTAGCTGGTCAGCAACACACTGAAGCCACACGCATGTAGAATGCGAACCTGAGAGACAGAGTCAGGAAGAGACAAAAAGAAAAAAGAATGATGGAGGACGCCACATGAGAGAAGAGTTCTGGTTTAAAAGGGAGTAAATAATGAGGATTTATGATTCAGGTCAAGTTGACGGGTGATGATGTTTTACCAGGGTGCAGATGGTTGTGGTTTTGCCTGTGCCAGGCATGCCAACAATCAGTGTGTAGTCTTTAGACAGCAACACCTTCTTCATAGCCTGCTTCTGGGGTTTGTTGAGTCCTGACAAAAACACAACCAATTAATAACAATAATGCAAACTGTTACACTGTTGTAAAGAAAAAATAACAAACTGCTGCTGTATGCGTCATTTGTCTACAGACTTCATTCACCCACTTCATTTACACATTACGTATTTATCCACCCAACAAAGATATTTTGTGCATTTATTATACGACAGAAACACTATGGAGTCATTTTCAAGACTTCTCTGTATTTATGTGAGTTGTAGGGTGATGACTTTATATAAGAAAATATATGATTGTGTGCAAAATTCATAATCATGACGCCTCTTTTTTTCCATGAAGTTGCTCATTTATATCATTGTCCCAACAATAACAGAGGGAACTCAACAGAATGCAGACAAAAGACACGAGAAAGGCAGAGAAGGAAAACAGAAAGGAGAAGCTTTGACACCTTTGAGGATGTTGGCCACGGTGTCTTTGGCCTCTCTGGGCAGAACTGAACCGAGGTTGGAGATAAACTCTGGAGGACGGAGGTCAACAACCAGCTCCCTCAGACGATCACTGCGGACAGACGTGTGTTTAACATTACTTTTAATTTTCCAAGAGACAGTCAAGAGGTGCTTTTACACACAACAATAAAACATGTAGTTAATATCCAGCACATAATCCTGATTTACCATCACCTACATGCTATCATTAATTTAATAACATAACTTTTGAATTTACTGTACCGACCTGTGCTGAGAGTTTTCCATCAGTCTGGAGAGATTAGTGAGGTGAGTACTGAGGCCCACTACACCCTCATCCACGTCCAAACGAAACAACACACCACTGAACTTTGACAAGTCTCTGTGAAACACACAACAACAACAAAACAGCTGTAAATAAAGTTCTAAACAATGAGTTGTCTTTGGTTTGAAATACTCCCGATGGCAGAGACATGACGATTTGTTCTCACCTGTCCAGAGTGCAGCTGATCAGTGACCTGCTGACCTCACACAGGTATCCTGTTGCCAAGCCAACAAAACGACCTTCCTGGTCACTGACAACGATGCGATCCCCGCCGGCCAGACCGCTGTTGACCGAACCCTGCAGTGGTGCTACGCTCCTCTGGAAACGATGGAGGAAAACTCCCTCAGCCTGGACGGTCACTGGACCACTGAGTCGCAGTCTCCCCACACAGCTGCCATTCTTCTCACTTCAAGCACAAGTCAGAGTTTACAGAGCGAAATAAAATTAGTTGAAGAAAATATTTTTTGTGGTTCATATATCGTGGTATTGTAACAGCAGCTGGTAGACTCAGTGAGGG